TATGTTGCATTGCTTCCAAGAAATAATATAAAACAAATGAAATTATCACTGTGCTAAAGTAATCTAAGGTGCCAATGCATTGGTGCAGAGCTCTTTTTTAAATATATATTGTTTTTTTCTTTCTTTTTATAGAGCACAACAGAAGCTGTTTCTATTCAGAATCTCTGTCCTGTTTTCTCTGTTCATGAGACTCTACATACAGCACAGCAGTATGTAGAGGGTAAAGATTCACTTCTTTAACTCATTCTGCTATGTGTAAAAAATCAGCTTGAGCTATTGAGCTCTGTAAGCTAGCTTTTTCACCAACGCTGGAAAAAATTGCCTGGAAAAAAATGAAAATGAACCTAGAGCGTCTTCTACTGACCAATATGTAGAACACAAAAATATTCATGTGAAATATTTTATTTTTTCTTGGATATATACAGTATACTGTATATCTTGGATTCACCTGACTAGAAAAAAAAAAACTTTTTGTTTAATCCTGAATAAAGGATAGGAATATAATTTCATAAAAAAATACATGTTTTGTGTGAAACAAGGTTGAGAATCTGGCTGCTGGTTACAGACTGCATTTGCTCTGTGCAAAAAATAAAACGCATATCTGACTGGTCATCTGTGTGCAGTCCACATTTTCTGTAGTGTATGGAGGGCTTGGTGAGCTTCTGATCTGTACTGATCATTTACCAACAATGTGAACTTTGCTACTGTACTAGACAATGTGGAAATGCAGTGGAAGAGTTTTACACCATTTTGTTTAATATCATTAAAGAACAGAATGAAAAATCAACATCCAGTGATTCAGAGAATTCTTTAAATTATTATATGGTAGTAGTTGAACATTTCTGAACATGTCTTGAAGCTGCTTTGGGTTTGATCATACACTAAAGATGTGCCTCACTTTACCGCTTATGTCTTTACATTTTGTTCCTGTAGAGTGTCCGGTAATCTGGCTCTAGTGTCAGGAATGGACATGTCTGACATAAGAGATAAATCATAAAGGTGGAAAATTGGAGCACAAATGTAGGCAGCCTTGATGGTTCCATCTGCAGATGTTTGTATTCATTCAAGCTATTTATACTTGTGGTTCAATTGAAATATCAGTGGAAATGTTTATACGGTCCAAGGACACCAAGGAAATAACATACCGTTGATACTATGTTCTGTTCTGCAGGTCCACTTGTAAAAGTATAGGCAGTTAAAGGGGAAAGAGGGCTTTGTCCACGATCGTGCCTTACAGGTTCACTCCTTGCATAAGAGAGCCTGAAGAAGGTGTTTTCTTCCTTGTTCTAGCTGGAGTTGTAAAAAGCCAATAATGTTTCTGCTCCTGTCTTCTAAATTAGCTTCGAAAGGAGTATCTCAGATGTGTGAATTTATAATTATGATGATTAAATAATTGTCTGTTCTTTTGCTATTTTTAAATAAATAGTAATAATAACAATAAACAAATAGGATCACATATCTATATACAGAACTTTTGTAGGAATGTAGTGACAGAGACCTCTCAGTGTGAAGAATTTGTACTCAATTTATTGTGTCTTCCTTCCATACTTGTCCCTTGCTGTAGATAAGTATCCTTCAGTGAGCAAAGGGCGTACAATACATTCTGGCAGACATCTAGGATCTGTAGCCTGGATAGCTCTTCATCAGTACAATGCCATTTTCTAACATCCCCTGATCATTTAAGGAATTTCAGTGTTATACTGCTTCTGGTTTGCTCCTCATTGCTGAAAATCAAAGAATCAGCTGTCCTACAAATAGTGCAAAAAATGGAGTCATTAGTGGTAGAAAAGTAATGAAGCATGCTATCTATACATATATTTATTGAATACTTCAGTCACCTTCAGACCCAGAACACTTAAAGTGTATGTATTGCCAAAACCTTTTTCTTTTAGCTTTGGATAGAGCAATGAAAGGTTAAAACCCTTGCCAGTTATCCTTTTTTTTTTTGTCTTTATATACCATTGGGAAACTTTCCCTTAAGTTTCTGTTCCAGTGATACAACAGGATGTTGGAGGAAATCTAAACTGAAATGAAGGGACTTTTCCCTCTTAAAGCTTGTTTACATTTGCAGTGGTCCTTACCATCCCTGTGGAAAGTGATACACTGTGGAATCGGTCTTGATACACACTTGAATGGATTTTGTTTAGCACCAGTACTGCCTGACGAATGTTAAAGCGGGTGTACATTTTTGCTGCAGCCATAAAGCAAATCATGCGTACGGCACTGTGGTGGGTATAGGGGGCAGTGAATCTGCCTCTTTTTACTACCCTCCAGCTGCAAGTGTCAGCCCTAAGAGAGTTGGCCCCAGAACAGTTGTCCCAGCTGGAATATTTACCTTCACCTTTTGTTCTGCATAGGTTTTTTTTGTCAAAGCTTAATTGAGCAAGCTGAAGTTAGAAGCTGATTGGCTGGCATGCACAGCTGCACCAGATTTTGCACTGGCCATATTTAGTAAATCAACCTCCTTGTGTTTTGCTGACAATAGTTATCACTGATGAATCCTGCCTGGACCTGATACCGCTGTCTTCTCCTCCCCTGACCTTTGGCTCGCCCTGACCATCCTCTGCCTGCTCCTTTTGTCTGACCTCCTGTTACCGAACCCGGCTTGTGACCCGATTACTCTTTGTCTACCGATCTGTACCGTCTGCCTCGCTGTTACCTACCCGACTTGCCTGACAACATCACACCTCTTCACATCTGGCTCCTACCCGCTACACGCCATTGGCGGTTGCCTTTACCACGGTTGGTGTCACTCAGGGGTCGCGACCTGGTCCTAGTCTGCTTCAAGTCCATCCCCACCATCAGGGGCTTTGGTGAACCAGCAGACCTGGGCTTAGACTCCGCGCCCTGGGGGACTCCGACCAGTGGGCCACTAGAGGTCACCATCAGTGTTCGTGACACACACCCACTGTAGTGTCCTCTGTCCCTCCCTCCACTGCAGTGTCCTGTCACCTTCACAGCCCCCCCACTGTACTGTCCCCTTTACACTCCCCCATAGTTAGCTCTGCCCCCCCAGTGCAGTTTCCTCTGCCCACTTTGCACCATCCAATGCAGTATCCTCTGTCCCCTTCACACACAACCCCACTGTAGTGTCCTCTGTTCTCTTCCCACCCCCACCCCCCAATGCAGTGTTCTCTATTCCCTTCACACCAGTGTGTGGATAGGACTCTCCTACATTACATAGGTGTACAGGAGGGTGGAGAGCAGGAAGTATCACAGTACTTAGAGTAGTTAGAGGGCAGGGTGGGGGAGATGTAACAAGCTGGTGATTGGTTGCTATGACCACCTGGCAACCAATCACCTGCTGGTTAATGTGAAATGTTAACTGTGGCAGTTCCTGCCTCCGCACTCTATCCAGTACTGTGACTCTTCCCACTCTTCACTTTCCAGTGAAGAGAAGAGTGGCGGAAGTTGGGGAAGGAATGGCAATGAAGGGCCAAGTTCCCAATCTGCGGACAGCAGATGGGTCAATTGCGATTGATGGCTTGCCACCCCCAAAGTAGCCTCCCGGAGTAGACTTTCGCCACACCATCCGTAACTAAAAAAAAAAAAAGTTTGCAGAGGAATGGACTTTATAATATCAGCAGTAGCAGACAAGGACACCAGTGGGCTTTTGTGCAAGACAGGCCCATTTCGCTACCAGCCAAGGACACCCCCCCCCCCCACACACACACACACTTATAATTACCATGTATTGATTAATAGCTAGATGGAAATAATCCGTGACCAGTTCTACCTGACAAAGGAAAATCCAGCACCCACCTGACCACATCTAGTTTAAATAGGGCTCTAGCTCTCAGTGGGCCTATGTGCAGATACACGATTTGCACAAGTGGTATGTCTGTCCCTGTATTTCAGGTTATGTGTTTGTTGGGATATTTTTAAGTATAAGCTAAATTAGTATTTGGACTCCATGAGAAGTGCAGTTCTAAGTTTCATTTTTCTATACTTCAGCTAATTGAAGCATCTACTTTAACCAACTTAGAAAAATATAAACCATTTGCATTGCTCACAGCATGAGAATCTAGTTGTGATTATTCTGGTGAAAATTGGAAAATATTTCTTACTACAGGGAAAAATGTTTTTCCTTCACAGCTGGCTGGAACTGCATGCAAGTAGTTTGTTGTAAAGAACCCATAAAACTAGGGTATGGCGTAATTCTCGACTTCAGCTCTCCTAATACTTATGATATTTATGAAACATTATTTCATTTTGGACATTTGCTGTATATAAAATACCTGTTGATTCTGCCAGAAAACTTGGGAGGTGATGCCTGTGCAAAATGCAGAGTCATGGTGAATGGGGGGTGGTTCCTGTGTTATTTGTAATTAGAAATGAAATTGACAGTGCTGACACCAAGTGCTTATGAATTCAGAGCTGTGTTGTGGAAGTTAGGCGCACACTTTTTTTCTGGCACATCAACAGTAATTTTTATTTACTTGCAACATGTTTAAAGTGCTTGTAAAGGCTGAAGGTTTTTTATCTTTTATTATAACTTAAAAAACCTGCAGTGTGCAGCTTTCCCCCTCCAACACTTACCTGAGCCTACTCCTGATCCAGCGATGTGCACGGAAGCAGCAGCTTTCCTGGTTCTTTTTGTCCTCATTGGCTGAGACAGAGCAGCAGGAGCAATTGGCTCCAACTGCTGTCAATCACATCCAGTGAGAAGTGAGCGGGGGCAGGGCTTATAGACACACAGAATCTGCTTAGGAGCGAGTATACACAAATACCACCATAGCAAGCAGCTTGCTATGGGGGCACTCAGGGGGGAGGGACCAGGAACACCAGTGGGGGTGCGAGAAAGGAGGATTGGAGGTGTTCTGTGCAAAACCATATAAGTATATGTTTGATATCTAAAAAAAAAAAAAAAAGAACACTGAGCCTTTAATATCACTTTAAGAGGATAGCACATGGGAAAATGTTCATGTAATTAAGAGATGCACTAAATATTTTTTTCTTGACATAGCATTGACCCAAGTAATTACATTTATAAATACATTTAGCATTACCTCTGTACTGCTCAATTCATTTCTCGTTTCTGTTCCATTTTGATCTTGAAGTTGTTCCAGAGCCTGTACTTCCATAATGTCCATGTTGGGGTGAAGGTTTTGCTTTTCATTCTCCCATTTAGCAAAACCCTTGTTTTTTGCTGACTTGCCATAGAATTTAGTTTTCATTTTAGGAAATGTATGAGGACCAGTATCACTCCATCCAGAATCTGACCACACAGGATCTGTTTGCGTTGCTTGGCTGGTTGTTGAACGTTGCAATCGCACCGAAATCTTCCTTGAAGAACCAGTGACCAGAGTTATTGCCCGTCCGTCTAGATCGTGATTTTGTCTTCCAGGAGAAGGAAAGTCAAAAACTTCATCTTGTGCTGCAAAAAACAGGAATATATTACTTTTATTATGTTGCTTATGCTAATGTTAGAAATATTGTTGCCTGTTGCTGGAAAATCAACTTCAAGTAAAACATTTTAACTTCTATTATTCTTAAACAGCAAATAGAACCTGTGCTGATAAAAATACAGAGGTTACTGCTACTAACCTTTTGAAGATGCCCAGCTGCTAAGTTGACCTAATGACTTTAAAGCCCAAGACCAGTTTGGGCAGTTAATTTAAAAGTGGATTCTCCAGCAGTAGCTGAAAATCCTAATGCAAGCCCACAGTGGGAAGGATCCACCCCTCTTTGGACTTACAGGAGAAATGCTGCAGAGAGTGACATCATATCACTTCATTTCACTGCACTATTCTCTGCATCACATGTATATAGTATACAGTATATATCCCACATCTGGGGGATGCAGATCAGGAATAAGGCTGAAAGGTTCACAGTTAACTCTCCCTGGTGCACTGCTGCAATCTCATCCAACCAACGTGACCAAAGAACAACACTCTTATATATTGCAACTTACCAATCCATGGGTGTGAAGGCTGCATTTCTTTTTTCATGTTTTTTTTTCACCAGGTGTTTCTGTCTGTAACACATTTCCTATCCTAGGGTGCAATGCTCACTTACCACATACTGTCTATGGAGGAACAAGGTTGTTACTCTATGCTGTTCTCCTGATCTGGGTTTCAACACCTCCATAAATTAGGTTTTGATAGGAGGCCTGTTTGTAAACTCTACATCGGCCTGGGAGGGGCTTACTGATGTGTGTCTGATGAGGCATTGTTCTCCAATGCCTCCCTGTAGTACTATTAATTCCACAGGATTACCACCAGTGAGTTATTTAACTGAACATTTCATGTGTCATACAATACCTGGAGCCAGAGATGGACTGCTTGGAAGGGACCCATGGCTACTTCCAATAGACGTTCCTCTAGAGAGTTTCCGGCAAGCTAGCACGAGGAGGTCCTTGCATTGTTTATGACAGTTAGCACCACAATCTGAAAGGGGAAAAAAAGCTTTTACAAGTTATTAGAGAACATGTTGATGTTTTACAAATGGATATTGCATTTACCATTAGTCACTGAAGTGAGGGTAAATCTTGGTCACTGACAATATTAAAGTAGAATTCCAGGCTTTTACTAACTATGCTTAAAAATGCTCCATCCCCTCTCCTAACATCTAAACTAATTAACCTGTGTAAAAAAAAAAGGAAACACTTACCTGTTCTCAGGCCACTCCAGTCCAATCATGTGGTCTATCCTGCAGGGCTGGGACAAGGGGTGGGCAGAAGGGGCCCTGGGCACTGATATTATGTGAGGTGGAGTGGGGGGGGGGGACCAAGGAGAGTTCCTGATGCTACAAGCTGACATGAGTTGTGACAGCAGCATCACTACTCCTGTCAGCTTAGCATGGGTAGTGACAAGCCAAATCTTTGGAGAAGGAGAGAGGCGGGAGGAGGTGTGGGCTGTGCTCTCTCTCCCCCCTCTAGCTGCACACTCCTGCCACTGGAGTGCTCCTGGATTGGAACTGTCAGACTCATGTTCTGGAAGGGGATTTCAGTGGGCCAAGGGGGGATTTGTACTGGGAGGAGGAGGTTTTATTTGGGGGGGGAATTATGGCTTGCAAAGGAAATTTTTGCTTAGGGGGCAAGTGTGGAGATTAGTGCTTGATTTTTTTTTGGGGGGGAAGGGATTTTGTTGACACATAGTGTTAAAACATCTTAAGGGGGGTGCAGTGTGTCATCTTCGCCCTGGGTGCTAGATGACCTTGTCCCATCACTGCTCCCTTGTGTCAGCCAGCACCAGCTAGAGGGGAAAGGAGAAAGTGCTCGATAACAGCTGGTAATTCCTGAGCGGTGAGGTGATGTCATCCATAGGATTACTATGGCCCATCTGTTGTCGAGGCTCCCTCCTCTCCCCTGCAATGACATGGAGCAGCCAATCATGTGACTGGATCAGGACGGCCTGAAAATAGGTAAGTATGGACATTTATTTTATGTTGTACACAGGTTAGTTAGTATAGGTGCTAGAAGGAAGGAGGGAGTGCTTTTAAGCACAATTAGTAAAAGCCCAGAATTCTACTTTAAGCCTAACAGAGTTTCTAACCCTTCCCGGCTCCATACAAATCTAAAATAAGTTTTGGCTTAGGTTTCAGTTAATTTATCCAGTGAGAAGATAATGGCGTATTCCCATGTTGTACCTTATAAGTACAGGTATAGTTGCCATATTGCAAAATTCCAATGTTATACTGGTAAATACATACAGGTGCACTTAGAAAACCAAAAACTAGTACTAGCTTATTAAACTAAATGAAGCCAAATCAGAAGTTTTTATGGTATTTGTGTCAAGAGTACAAAGGAAATTTCCATGGTCGAATTATTTTTTAAATAACCACAACTTTACCTACATGAGAAAATAATCTGTTTCTGCTTTTTTTCAGTTACTTTAAATCATTATGTAAAGCAGGGCGCTTAGTGCATATTGCAGCATAACTAAAGGGAAGAAAGCACACCTTTTCAGCACACTATGAGAACAAGTACACATCAGTGAGTCCATGTGGCAATGTCAACTTGTTTATTACTCAAATTTATTCTAATAACTGTCTTTCCCTCCCATTAATTCCCATAAAATGCAACTCAGTTCCAGCTACCTTTTCAACAGTGTTTGTGCAAAAGGTTATTTTGCTCAAGCCAGCAGCATCCCTCCACCTTTAATTAGGCATCTGCGACCCTTAAGTCGGGTGCCAAAACCAATGGTGTTAATTTTGGTAAATATGCTGTTTATTTTGCAAAGGTAATTTCCACAGGGCTTGCTGAATGTAGTAAAATATTACTTTGCAAAGGATACTCAATCACATGCAAGGAAAAAAATAAAAACCAATGGTGTTAATTTTGGTAAATACGCTGTTTATTTTGCAACGGTAATTTCCCCAGGGCTTGCTGAATGTAGTGAAATTTTACTTTGCAAAGGATACTCAATCACATGCAAAAAAAAAAAATAAAAACAACATTTGTACTTGGCTGGATGTACATGATCGGATTATGGAAGTCAACAGAGCTTCACTTCATTCACCTAGTTCTGGAGATATTTCCTTTGCAGAGCGATCATTCTCATTTGCCTTCATTGACTCCCCCTAATTATTCTTAATAATGCACACAGATACTGGCATCACCATGGGGGTGTAGACCACACAAGGATGTCACCAGGCAGAGGGTTAACACCAAGAGATGCCGATAAGGGGGTACTGCACTTTGACAGGGGGGCCCAGCTCATGTTTCTGCATGCTCAGTGTAGCAGCCAATAGCGCTTCTTATCTGAGCATGAGGGAGGGACAAGACAAATACACTGCACTAGCTGCAGCGACAGTTGTTCCTCTTCCCTCCCATCCTTAGCCAATCAGCAAACACTGTAACCCCCCCCTTCTCCAGCCCACCACATTTGATTGTAAATGGAAGATGCTGGTGGCTGGATTGGTATTGAATAGGGGCACCGGGGGATACACAAAGTAACTGAAGCCCAGGAGCCACAAGAAGAAGGTGCAATCAGAATTACAAATCCTGCAGCACACATAGCTCTAGCTGAAATAGCTCCAGAGAAACAACTGAACATCAACAGCAATGTGGACACTGGTCACTTGTTATGCTAGCCAGCTGCAGCGTCTTCAAAACATCTTATCAGTGTGTTCAGGTAATGTGCAAGTTAGACAATATAAATACCGATCAGGGAAAGCCTCCCCTCCCTCTTGTCTCACTCGCTACTCTTTTTTTATAGTTGCCTAATCCAACCTGCACACAGGAAGAATCAATGAACTACCACGGCACTCTACAGGGACGTGGTAGTTCATTGAGGACTACAAGCTGAGAGCTGCTAAGGCTGTCGGGACTTATAGTCGCTCATTCACAGAATGCTGTAAATGAGTGACGTGGCCAGGTGGCCAACATGTTACTAAAGGTGAATTTATCCTTTAACTATTTACTGTCTTCCACTGCTCTTGACCAGTTGTCTGTTTTATAAGACAAGACTGGAAGTGATGCTGCCTTCTGTCACTTAGATGTACATTGTGAAGAGGATTTCTAACTTGATCTTGCAGGGTTGCAAAATTATTCACTGGATTCAGGCATAAATGCAGTCTCTGACTGTCTCTTGTAGTAATTCTGCAGTCTCTGACCATCTCCTGTAATAAGTCTGAAGTCTCTGACCATCTTCTGTATCATGTCTGCAGTCTCTGACCATCTCTTGTATTATGTATGCAGTCTCTGACCATCTCTTGTATTATGTCTACAGTCTCTGACTGTCTCCTGTATCATGTCTGCAGTTTCTGATCATCTGTAGAATGTCTGCAGTGTCTAACTATCTCCTGTACTATGTCTGCAGTGTCTAACTATCTCCTGTATTATGTTTGCAGTCTCTTACCATCTCCTGTACTATGTCTGCAGTCACTGACCATCTCCTGTACAATGTATCTGCTGTCTCTGATCATCTGCTGTAGTATGTCTGCAGTCTCTGACCATCTTCTGTATCATGCCTGCAGTCTCTGACCATCTCTTGTATTATGTATGCAGTCTCTGACCATCTTCTGTATCATGTCTGCAGTCTCTGACCGTCTCTTGTATTATGTCTGCAGTCTCTGACCGTCTCTTGTACTATGTCTGCAGTCTCTGACCATCTCCTGTATCATATCTGCAGTCTCTGATCATCTGTAGAATGTCTGCAGTCTCTGATCATCTGTAGAATGTCTGCAGTCCCTGACTATCTCCTGTACTATGTCTGCAATCCTGACCATCTCCTGTACTATGTCTGTAGTCTCTGACCATCTCCTGTACTATGTCTGCAGTCTCTGATCATCTGTAGAATGTCTGCAGTCTCTGACTATCTCCTGTACTATGTCTGCAGTCTCTGACTATCTCCTGCACTATGTCTGTAGTCTCTGACCATCTCCTGTACTATGTCTGCAGTCTCTGATCATCTGCTGTAGTATGTCTGCAGTCTCTGAACATCTTCTGTATCATATGATAAAGTAATAGTGCAGCGCTATAAATGCATGTTAACAATCATAAACGCATGTAAAGTCAACAAAGTGCAAATAAGTGCAATAGTTATGTAAACTGGTAAATGGTGCTAAAAAAAGTTCATATACTCATTCCTGAATAATGGGATGTCCTTCGTGTGAGAGTTCAAACTCAGAGAGTGCCTATGAATGGCACGTTTGGTTTATCCATGACGAACAGTAGTGCATGAACTCGTGAAAGGTAATCCACCCTTGGGACGGGTGTACACTCACCAGAGCAAAAGTATTAATGCGCATGGGTTATACACATCACACATCTGGGGGTGCAGCGGTATGCCCGTGTGCACTTGAGGATGTGTTGGTACACGAAACGCATTGGATGGAGCCCTATTGCTGACGCCATTGAGGAGCGGTGGCCATCTTGGACCATTTTGGCACCCACCCTGATGGATGGATGGAGCTGGATGACTAACCCATAGCTGCCACCATATTGTAACAGGAAGGGGCCATCCCCAAACTGTTCCCACAAAGTTGGGAGCATGAAATTATCCAAAATGTCTCGATATGCTGACACCTTAGGAGTTCCCTTCACTAGAACTAAGGGGCCAAGCCCAACCCCTGAAAAACAACCCCACAATGTACTCAGGCAAGTACAGTTCTTCTGGCAACCACCAAACCCAGACACCCATCGGATTGCCAGACAGAGAAGCACGATTTGTCACTCCAGAGAACACGTCTCCACAGCTTTAGAGTCCAGTGGTGGTGTGCTCTACTCCACTGCATATAGTGCTTTGCATTGCACATGGTGATGTGTAGGGCTTGGATGCAGCTGCTTGGCCATGGAAACCCATTCCATGAAGCTCTCTATGCACTGATGTTGCTCTAATCTGAAGGCCACACAAAGTTCATAGGTCTTTAGCTATTGGCTCTGCAGCACACTGTGCACTTCAGCATGTGCTGATCCCGCTCTGTCATTTTATGTGGACCTATCACAACAGTTGACCTTGGAATATTTAGTAGCCAGGAAATTTCACAGATGGATTTATTGCACAGGTGGCAACCTATCACAGTACCATGCTTGAATTCACTGAGCTCCTGAGAGCGACCTATTCTTTCACAAATGTTTGTAGAAGCAGTCTGTATGCCTAGGTGCTTGATTTTATACACCTGTGGCCATGGAGGTGATTGGAACACCTGAATCCAATGATTTGGAGGGGTGTCCCAGTACTTTTGGCAATATAGTATGTATATATATATATATATATATATATATATATTAGATGGACAGAGGTGGGGGACAGACTAACCAGCAAGGGGGGCAACTTAAAAAAGATGAAGGGGTGATTGGGGGGGGGATTAAGAGGATATATGCTGGGGGGCACTTTAGGAGGGGGAAAGGACCTATGCTAGAAGTGTGGGTTGGATTTCAAATCCAAACCCCCCCTCACAAGAGCACAACAAGCCCCCCCCCAAAGCACCCCTCCAGCACATATCCACCCCCACCTCCCCATTAGCACAAGTGTAAATGGGTGTGTGAAATAAGGGAGAGGGGTCTATACTGAGGAAGGGAGGAACTATACCGAGGGAGGAGGGTCTGTACTCAGTGTAAGGGGTGTCTGTACTGAGGGAGGGGGTCTGTACTGATAGAGGGGGTCTATACTTAGTGGAGAGGGGATCTGTACTAAGAGAGGAGGTCTATGCTAAGACTTCATTCACACTTGAGCAATTTGTAGCTTGAAGCTCAAAGCTCCAAACACTCTCAAACATATATATAAAAAAAAAAAAGTTGTTTTCTATGGTGCCTGTTCACGCAATCAGGTGTGGACACGCACCATAGAGAACAATTGTTTTTTTTAAGTTTGACCATTTTTGGAGCTTTGGCCTAAAAGCTACAAATCGCTCAAGTGTGAATACAGCCTTAGTGGAGAGGGGAGTCTGTTACTGAGGGGGGGACTATACTTGGTGAAGGGGGAGTGACACCATGTTTTACTGCACTTGGTGACACCAACCCTAATGACGCCACTGCACACAGATAGAAATGTACCTTTGCACTTGTATCCTTGCTTGATGATACCCCACAGCTGAAATGAAGGACAGCTCAATTAGTCAATGCAGCAAAAGAAACAAGAAGGAAAACCAGGTCATAAAGAAGTAAGAAGAAATTGCTGTGCTAAAATAAACAGGATACACCAACACCCTTCCTGTCATCAACATCTCCAGTGCATGTGGATTTTCACTGACGTCTTTCCAGACTTCTCACTAATAAAATGTTTTGGCGGTCTTAGCAAACTAAGGGTATATCATGAAATACTAAATAATGCAAGTATCTGACCAAAAAAATAATAATCAAAGACATATCTCCCTACAGACACAGCATTAATCAATCCTTTTCTACTCTGATATATTATAAATAATACTTGTAGTTTGCATACTTCTAAAACACAATTTTTGTTACTTACACATTGTTAATTTTTTTTACAGCTGTACATTTTCTTTATTAATTTATTAAATTCAATTTTACGAAGAAAAAAAAAAACATTTTTGCAAGAAAAAAATGTGCATTTATTTTTTTTCACAGGAGTCTTCAGAGTATTGCACCCACAAATCAGTGGATCGTAATGTTGGGCTCCTGAGGGCTCTTCTTACATCTCTGTGTCCATACCTCTGTCCGGACTGTCAGCTTCGGAGCTGTAGGAAGTATGAATGGACTATAAGCACACTAATAGCACGCTCACAGTCAATTGAAACCAGAAGTCCATCTGCCATGGTGGCAGACAGGACATTTAGTTTATTCATTCTTAGATCTCTGTGAATGAATGACATGGCTGTGCAGACAGGGCACCACACACCAATGCTGATTTCAAATGTGACAGAGGATGTGGAGGAGAGGAAGGAGGGGCTAAGGTAGAGAGGGATATCTGTTTGAAAATGTTACATGTTGCACCCTAAATATAGGTGTAACATATAATATGTTCAAAAGGTGAACCTATCCTTTAAATTATACAGCAGCCAGATTCCATTGCATACAGACTACAGTATAATGTCTATTCTTAATTAATTAATATGGGCATAGTAACTGTATTGTGTGATATTGATTGGATTTAACAGAAATACTTGCAAGAACCTTATCTTTTTGCATTCTTACTGCAGGCTTGATGCTTTGTATCTCTTCATGTTAACTCTGTTTTCCAGCCTAATTATGTATTTTGATGCCTTACTGCTGAAGGCAAAGACAAACTGATCTATTCGAGAGAAGCAAGATTTGTCTCTTTCATTGAGGGACATAGGATTCAGAGACAGCTGGGTTATACTGCCACCAACAGAGGGAGTTGGAAATTGAAAAACAAAAAAAAACAGTGACCAACCGGGTAAAACCCTTCCCACTCCCAGCATGCCCCAGTTTTTGCTAACTTTCTAGGAGGATGGACGGCTTTTCCTTAGTGAGAAAACCACTTTTACTAGCCATTTTTTTCTCAAGAACCTTTATCTTTCAATCAAAATTTCTCGTCATGGGGGTGTGGCTAGGCTTTCCATGTGGGCAGACACTGAATCCTACTGAAGATCAGATTACAATCAGCCTAGAAGACTTCCCTTGATGTTAGAACTACCCCTCATCACTTTGATACCCGACTCTCCACCTCCCAGTGATACCCTGCAGCACAGACTGGTCACCAGAGCGATGATGAAGGGTAACAAGGATGATGGAGAGGCCTCAGACCAAGGCTCTCAAGATGGCACTGGCCCACTTTCATCATGCTCTCAAGCAAAATTTCTCTTTGCACTACTTGAGCTTGTCTCTTGTATAATAATCTGGATTGGCGCATCCTCAGCAACAGCTTTGGAGGCTGTACCTGTTACATGCTAGAATGGACGATTGCCAGACCTGCATGAAGAGTATCTTTCAGGCACTGGGTCTAGTTAAGGTACTTTCCAAACCTCTGTGTAATGTATTAGTGAGCCGCAGAATGCTTTCCAGGTCTAGACCCATGGCACAACCTCGGATGGGACCCAATCTTTGAAAACTCATTTATGAGTAGGCTATGTAGGTCAAGCAGCACTAACTACTATATTTATTAGATATTTCACATGCAGCTCCAGGCGTGATTAGACTCCATACTCCACACTCACGCTAAGTGTGCTGGCTTCGCTCGTCTGCACCTAAGCAATCAATTATTTCAGCAACAGGAATGTCTCAGAGTTCTTTCTCAAAGAAGGACTAAGCCACTACCCATACACCATTATTTACCCAGCCTCTGATGTGACCCAGTATTTGGAAACTCATTTATGAGTAGAGTGAGTGGGTTTAGCAGTACGCCTCTGTGGAATTTCAAATTGTTCCTGCCTGCTTTACAATAAACTGCCTTTTAAACTTATCCTTTTCACCCTTGCTCACAAGGTTTCCTTAACTGTTGCCATCATCTCTGCGAGCAACTTTATCCTGTGAAGGACCATTTCTGATCATAAATAAGGACAAGGTGATGTTGAGCCCCTCATTCTCCTTCCCTCCTAAAGTGGTATTGTCCTTTCACCTCAACTAGGACATTGTTCATCTGTCTTTCTGTCAATTTCCAGTCCATCAGAAGGAAATTTATCTTTGCTGTCTTGATGTTGTTAGTGCTACAGTATGTGGATGTACCGCACAGCCTCTTTCATTCAGAAAGAATTACTCTTTTTTTATTCTTGTTGCACTATTTTTTGGTGGTCCAGACAGATCAATGACTAAGTGTATGTACAGGTTAATTTAGTTAATTTTTAATTATACACTGTATGTGCATGGAAATGGCCAAGTTGGATCACTACATAAAATGCTGTACTACAGAGAGCTTTAGTGACAGATTTCCAATTTTCAACAATATGTAATTCCTTCCTCTAATATATAATGTGCCTCTTATTGATTTAGTCTCTCATGGTTGCTCTCTTATAGGGCCATATACCTAGCATATATTGTTTTACAGTATGGTGGAAGATTTTGCTAAAAATGAACTTTAAGTCCTTTAAGAGTTCTGGTAACTGCCATACAATAGAAATCTTGAGGATTCAAACATATGTTTTTCCTTTTTTATCTTACTTTCGTGTTTTAACAGGTTTGCTTTTCTGCTATTATTTATAAATGAATGTATTCTTCATTTAGATGCAGTGACATAGTGGCATAGTGTTTCCTATTCACTGCTCATATTCTTGCTACAGCTTATGCAGTAATCCTTAAAATGTTTTATGGGTTTTCCTATGTAGAATAACTTCATACAGAGCATTGCAATAAGCTGTGGCAGACCTGAATGTAAAGCTTATTTACAGCCCAATAAAATATACGTACAAATCCCGCACAGTGCTCGCAGAAAGTTGGCTTTAAATATGTCATCTCCTGGAAATTGTGAACAAAGCCAGGACCCATTTTGCAATGAAACTGAGACTTAGCCCTAAGAAAGTAGGCCATCATTTCATCCTTGCTGATAAGACCATCTCTGCAAAGAGAAAAAAAATACAGCTTTACTACAGCTTTAGTAACTCAATAATTTTTCTGTTCATATAGCAAGTAAAAATATTTCACATAAAACACATGGATGTAATATTGTTATTATTTTGTTTTCTCTTTGTTTCATGGCTTGTTCATCTAAGAAATGGATGAGGCCATAATATAGAAGAGCAAAGCCTTACAATCTCATGTATATTTTATTCCTGCAGGTGCTTCTCTTTAATCCTATACAGTCTATGCTGTAAATTAGTTATATTCCATAGTAGATCAAGTTGAAAAATTACATGATGCCATTAAGTACAATATATGTGTTTGTGAGTGTGTCACTTTGAGCCTGCTAAGAATATACATACCCCCTGTGTATTATGCCCTTTGACAAATTTAGAAGATTTTGAAACTTCTGATGCCTTTGCCTGGGGAAAGAAGTTCCACACTTTTACTGTTCTAACAGTAAACAGCCCCTTGTACAATTTCAGATTAAACCTTCTTTTTTCCAGTGTCAATTTGTGGCCGCTTGTCCTTGTTAGGGACCTTAAATTAAACAGTTTGTTACTATCCTTACAGTCACCTTTGTTTAATTTGGCAATAGCATTCACGTCTCCTCTTTAACATCTCTCCTCTAGGTTGAATATGTGTAATTTACTCAATAATTCCTTGTAATGGAGATCCTCCAGCCCCATATTAACTTTGTTGAACTCTAGTTCTAGATCATCTTTTTTGTTGATCGGTGACCAGCATTGTCCTCTGAATTCAAGATGAAGCCAAACCGGGTGATTTGTAAAAAGGTAAAAGTATTATTGTATCCCAAGAAAAAAATACTCTTCGTAATATGTGATAGTATTTTGCTTGCTTTGTTAGCTGACTTGTAAGCTATTGATAGCTCTGTGGTCTACAAGAACCCCCCCCCCCCCAAATCTTTTTCCACAACAGATTCCCCCAGATTCTCTGATGTCACAGTATTTTTTATAATTAATAGGTAGTAATTTTATAAATACTTTATAAATCAAAATTTCATAAAAAGCAGTACTCCAGAAAATTAGGTTTTTATTGTTATCCTAGTGTCCCTATTGAGTGGATTTCCCCTAAATTTCTCAAAGTTTCAACATTGTCACCGGGACAGGAAATGAAAAAAAAATGCTTTTTATACTTTGGAGTAGAATCTGGGGAAGGTAAAAACTGTCAGGTTTTTTTTTTGTTGTTGCTGTGCACCATGGGAGATGTCCTCCATTTTTTTTCCCAGTAAAAGCAGACAGCTACAAAAACCAGAGGTTTTCATCCTTCATCATGCTATCCAAAATACAAAAATGAGATTCCTTTCTCATGGAAAAGTTGTGTCATTGATCAAGTGGACCTAATTCACCTCTTTTTGACTCGTCCATGAATAATATTGGTTAAATTTGGACAATCTGCTGACCACTCATCTTGGATTTACTGCTCTTAAATCTCCTGTAGTGTTCTTACTAAATATACTGAATGATGATATACCCCCAAGTCCTCTTTAGACTATGTTTAGTCTCCTCTGTTTTTATACCTCAAAAGTGATTCTATTCTGCTGGAGGGACTCTAACCTACCATCCATTGATCAGCTGACTTAGATGGAGAATGATGTCTTACCAAAATACAAACTCATCTAGGCTGTGCTTGTCCAATAAAGTTTAAATCTGGAACAAATGTTTACTGCCTTGAGCTAATAAATGGGTTCTAGTGTATATACAGTATGTAACAATTGTTATCATTTTGTAGCAACCCTCATTGCAAGTTTGGACTAAATAACTACAGTATGTTTAAAGGATAAGTTCACCTTTGGGAACATGTTACTATTTAAAATCAGTGCAGCCATGCGGGGCTCTGCCCACATGGCCATGTCATTCTTTCACAGTGTTCTGTGAATGAATGAACTATAAGTCCCGACATCCTTAGCGGCTGTTGGCTTGTAGTTCTTAATGAACTACCATAGCACTGTGGAGCACCATGGTAGTTCATTGATTCTTCCTGTCAGTATACTTGCTTGCCCGTGCATCCTATAAGGGCAAGCAGATATACTGACAGGTCTTCAGGAGCCTGCAATGCTTTACAGGCTCCTGCAACCAAAAATTATAAATGCACATTTTTTACCTGCAGAAAATGTGAATGTATTATTTTTGGTCAAAAGGTGAACTTATTCTTTAAGGCAGGGTGAGGTTGGGATAAGAATGGATGAGTCAGTGAATGTATGTTTCTTACTCTGTTTAATGGATCTTATATGTGAAATGGTTGTAAATTTGATAAATAAAGGCCTTTAAAAGACACAAATGTCATTCTTCTAACAGAAACATTGCTCTTTGAAAAAATAAAATACATATACTACTGCTGAGCTCTTTATGGAAATTCAAGCTGTCTGACCAGCATGCTGGCTCTCTGGTTGCAACACTTTCACTGATCCCTGACCCTGGATACATTTGCAGCTTGTAAAGTCAGAACTAGTGGTCTATGTGCTTTCTCTGGGTCAGGAACTTAGAAAGTATTGAAGGCAAAAAAACAACATGAACCTTTTTTTGAGGAGATCATTAGTGGCAGCTCACATATTCTACCATTACCTTGGTTCCTTTGAATAAGCCAAATAGACAGGCAGGGGTATTCATCTTGAGACCTTTATTTTGAAATTTTTTAAGTTGTTTTTAAAATAATATTAGTAAATCACTCTAAACCAAAAAACCCCTTTATGATTACGTCCAATGACGAAACGCGTCAGAGGGAAGTGACGTCAGACGCAAACGAGGAACCGGAAGTTGAGTGGCGGCCATCTTGGAGAGTGGAATAGAGACTGTGTGTAGCGGTCTGGACTTTCCTGGACGGACGGCATTAAGGTTTTCATACTTATATCATGCGATGAGAAAGATTTTTATATTGTAAGCAGCACCATTAAAGTTTGTGATTCGAGTGTGTGGCGGTATTATACTATATTTTTTTTTATATATATATATCGATATCGGGATGGCGGTTATGATGGAGTCTGGTCTGAGTAACTAGTGTGGATGGATCCACATTGGAGTATAAGGTGGAAGTGAGGATACTGGCCGAATACTATTCATCCTATCATACAGTCCACTTGGGGATTATTATCTAAGGCTTAAAAGTGATTTACATATTGGTAAGGGTATTCACTCCTTACTTTAGTAGACGTGATTTTTTTGTGTGTTCTAAGCACTAAAAAGAGTGATTCACTTACACGGTTTTTTCACTATATATAGTGTATTGGCACATGTTTGCTGTTCGCACCCTTTGTTTCACTTGGGTGAAGTATCACTGGATGATTCATATGATTTATATATATTAAGGATAATGCACTATGTGGTTTTTATTTTTGTTTCGTTTGAGGTAAATCAAGTTTTTTCAAGACATTGAGGAGATCATCACTTTGTGGACATTTTGGACATTTTTGGATTTTTAAAGGGACATTTGTTTTTTCAAAAACTTTTGGGTTATCTGATTAAGGACTTTCTGATTTATATGCACCAACTGGGGGCAAAGGGTTATTATTTATTATTATCACTGAGCATATTATTTGTATGTTTTTAAAATATTTTTACCTAGCGGTGAAATGGTTTATTGTTCTTACAAACTAAAATATTAGTTTCTGACATGAACAGCAGGGAACACAGAAAATGCAAGTGTTACCTCCTAGTTGTGGCTATTGCTGATGCTGGCTTTTCTTAGAGAACTAAACAGAATTACTGATCAGATAACACTACTGCCTGTTAAAAGATAGCAAAAGGACAGATATATAGTTGGAAGGCCACACACTCTGCTATACACAATTGATCTTGATACACACTATATGGCTGGCAATTATATGATATTGAAAATTTCAAAAGTATAGATGACTTCTCTACAATTCTCTTTTTTTCTCCAATTACAACAGCAGACAACATATTTTCTCCAGTTTTAATCAAGGAGCTCCATAGTGTAAGACTGAATAGCTATGAGAAAAACATTGTGAGGTTTATTTACTAAAGCTGGAGAGTGCAAAATGAGGTGCACTTCTGCATAGAAACCAATCGGCTTCCAGGCTTGATTGCCAAAGCTTAATTGAATAAGCTGTGGTTAGAAACTGATTGGCTACCATGCACTGAAGCACCAGATACTGGGTGAACCAGCTTTAGTAAATCCACCCCACTGACACCTGATGGAATGGAGAAGATTTATTTAATACACTGGCAACTAATTTCTGAGGTATATAGTAACCTTCCAACCTACTGTTAGAAAAAAGGCCATGGAAATTGTATGTGGATTTTATCTGTGGTGGGGATCAAACCCAAGAGACAGAGCTGCAAAAGAGTGCTAAGTAAATTAGTGGTTAAAATGTTTCAAGAATTAAAGTGGGCCAAAAGTAAACTTAAAAAAAACAAAAATAAACAGCTGCTATTTTATAGGTAACATATACAAATGTTAATTGTGCCTAATCAGCACTCTGAAAAATCTACCTTATGTCTTTAATTCCACTTGAAAAATAGCAGAACACTTCATGTTAGATTGTAAGCTCCAATGAGCAGGGCGCTCCTAACAGTTGTATTGAACTGTATTGTTGCTGTATTGTCTCCCTTTATATTGTAAAGCGCTGAGCAAACTGTTGGCGCTATATAAATCCTGTATAATATAATAATAATAATAATAATAATGTGTGCCTTAGAACTCCAGTGACATGAGTCTTGTAGATGTACTGTATATCTGCACTGATCATCCAAAGCTGGCTATACATGGTTCAGTTTTTTCATTCAGCCAGCATGCTTAACAAAAAGAAACCTGAAGGGATTCTCCTATCCATACATTCAAGATGGATGGAGGAATCCTCCCCACAGCACTACTGTACTCTGACAGCTTTTATCCGACAGGACGGTTGAACAGAAATTGATCGGTAGATTAACTACTGTTTAACTGCAGTGGCTACACATGGATCAAAATTTGGTCAGTCCCTGCTGAGCTGGCCGAATTTCAATCTGTCTAGGGGCACCTCAATGCACTGTGCCTGTGAATGCTAGTGTCAATAGATTTGGAATGAGATTTGGAATGCCACTACTTAGCATTCTCTATGCTGGAGGGAAAGCTGTACCTGATGACCTTCAGCGCAAAGATATCCCTGCTTCTACTTTATCTATTCTGTGCATCTGTGCTTTTAGAATATCTTCTGACACTTTTTGAATATTCCCCCATATGTCACGAGGAAGCAAAGTTCTGCTTCTACAAAGATGGTTGCCTCCACACAAAGACCCAGTGCAGTAGAAAAAATAGCTGGGTTTATTACTAAAACTGGAGAGTGCAAAATCTGGTGCAGCCATGCATGGTAGCCAATCAGTTTCTAACTTCAGCTTGTTCAGTTACGTTTTGATGTCTATGCAGACGTGCAGCAGATTTTGCATGCTTCAGTGTTTGTAAATCAACTCCAGTAAGACCAGCTGACATAGTTCATATTTTTTTTAAAGGGCCAAAAAATTTCTTGTCTAATTTTAATCTCTCGAAGTAGCCACCTTGTAAACTTGATGCAGAAAATTTAGTGCACTTTTCAGTAGAGCTATATCTAATCATTTAAATTTTAAAGTTCCGACACAAAAGCAGGGTACCTGTTTTTTTTAATTCAGACAAAGTCTTTAGGAAGAAAATATTTACAGATTACTATGCCATTATAAGTTTGTGCAGCTCGCTACAAAATAGCCTGCGCATAAACCCTTTAAGTCCCAATGCAGTTCTCTCAATGAACCCCTTTGTGCCAAATAAAGGAAGGACAGGAGGACACATGTGCATATTTGTGTTTCCAAGCACAGAAATCATCCAGTAGTTTTTTGTTTTCTAATGTCCAGTTATCATGTACTGTGTTTAGCCAGCTTTATCCTTGATGTCTCATTTACTGTAAACTATTTCAGTGTCCTGTAAATCACAACATTTAAGCTATTAGAATTACTGTGAAATATATGTTGAGGGTGTTATCATCTAAAGATTTTTTGTTTGCATTAAAATAGGTCATGAATTCTCCTGATCAGTATTGAGTCTGTGCTTTAGTATTAGTTATGTCTTGCTGAACAGTAATATATAATAAATACAACATTTGAATAGTGCATACGTAAACTTACTGGTCCTTGTCTAGAACACAGAAGGAGTCCAGAAATGGGAAGTTAGCAGCAATGCTTTCAAAGTCCTCTTGAGAAATATATCCATCATGATCATGGTCATAGTTTCTAAAAACAGACTTCAACATATATACTGAATGTTAACTGAGGTTAGGCTTACACTTATCAGCATTTCATTCACTACCATTTACATTTTTTTATATTGTTATTAATTTTTTGATGTCTCAGGTAAAGAATAATAATTAAATTAAATTTCCTGGGAACCACAGAATAATCACGACACTGCAAAAGAAAGCATGCATTTCCACGCAAAGGTACTAGAATTTTAAACTCCAACTCCAGTCAATTTTTTAAATTTCATGATAGAAAACCAAGTGAGGATCACAGTCAAATGCACATTTTTAGCAAGGCAAGAAAGGCTAGAACTGCTGAAAATGTTTTTTTTGCTGACTGTGCCTTCCAATCTGGGTGACAACTACACCCTGCATTCAATCAGTTCTTATAAGAGGATAAAGGGGATAGGTAGTAAGAGAAAATCTTCTCCATTTGGTCACTGACAGAATTACGGCTAGCAGTTTAACTTGTCATTACCAAGCTTTCCTGTGAGCTAACAGTGAGCACAGTGATGTCACCTGAACGTCCTGTTACCATTAGAAACTTAATTAATTTTTTTTTGTTACATAGTAAATCCGGTTGAAAAAAGGAACAAGTCCATCCAGTTCCACCAACAAGAGAAAAAAAAAAGACAAACACAAATACAACCACTGGAAAAAAGTATGAAATCACCACTCTTGGAAAATGTTCATTCAATTGTTTAATTGTGTAGAAAAAAAACAATCACAGGCATGCCTCAAAACTATTTTCATTTAACACTCTAACCTTCTGGCTTTAAGAAACAATAAAAAAAAAAGAAAAAACAAAGAAAACTGTAGTCAATTTCAACTGTTTTTGCAGATCAAGTAGATGAAAAAAATATGGAATCACTCAATTGTGAGAAAAATATTATGGAATCATGAAAGTACTTTGTTGGTGTTTAGTGGCTTTTATAACAGCTTGAATTCTCTGAGGCATGGATTTAACTATTTAACTTTTACTAAAACTGGAATGTGCAAAATCTGGTGCAGCTCTGCATAGAAACCAATCAACTTTCAGGTTTTATTGTCAAAGCTTAACTGAACAATCTGAAGTTAGAAGCTGACTGAGTACCATGCACAGCTACAACAGATTTTGCTCTCTCCAGTTATAGTACATCTCCCCTATAGTGTGTTTAGATCTCCCCTTTCTAACTTCTGCATGATGTTTCGTCTAGCAGATTGTGGCAGCCTATCTTTTAACATTAGCAAGCTTTACTGCACTCCGTGAATTATGTGAACAGTGCCACGGTGGAATATACTTTCTGGTGAAGGCAGCAGGGGCGGACTGACCATTTGGAAACTCAGGCACTGTCCGAGGGCCCGGGGTCAAAAGAGGGCCCCATGAGATGCCCCTGGTATCTTTTTCATAGGCTTTTTTGAGTTTGGGCAAGGACACAGGGGCCCCATGATCCCCTATTGCCCGGGGGCCCCATGAGTTGTCAGTCCACCCCTGGTAGGTAGTCATATGAATGATGCTGTTATCTATATGGCTCTCAATCTATTAAGCTATTTAGAGATGGGTACATATATAGAGGTGATATGACTATCTTGTATTCTTTATTTCTATTTTTATTTAGATGATACACTGTTTAAAAGACATCTAGTAGGCTGGTACAATATTTTCCTGTTGGTGTCCACAATTTTTAGCATCTTTATAACCTCAGCGCTTACCAAGGAGACTTTTGTTTGACAGTGGCCTTTTATAACAGCATGTCTGGTGTGTATATGTATACCAATGTATGTATAAATCCACAACCTGTACGTTCTTTTATGTATTGTTCAAAAACCATTGTGACATTATAAAAGGCGAGGTGATTGATGGACGCTATGGGGTTTATTTACTAAAGCTAGTTCACTCAGAGTCTTGTGCACTTCTGCAGAGAAACCAATCAGCTTCCAGGTTTTATTGCTAAAGCGTAATCAAAGAATCTGAGGTTAGAAGCTGATTGGCTACCATGCACAGGTGCACGAGATTCTGAGTGAACCAGCTTTAGTAAATAAACCCCTATGTGTCACCTTGCATGTTTTCATACCTAGGAGACTAAGGTGGAGTCCAGTCTGGGTTTTCCAGGCCACTTTGGCAGAGTTGGTACCGGACTGGATTTTGCGGTCCACTGATGACCACAAGCAGGTGGTATAAATAAAGCAGGAATGGAGCAAGAAGGTGCTCTTGGCCTGAGACTGAGGGAGCCATACCTAAGAGAGCTGTGGATAAAAGAGTTTGCTTTGCAAAATAAAGGAAAAGGTTTGCACACTGTTTTGTTCTGTTGGTGACTGGGAGAAGCCCTTCACCTGTGAGATAGGAACCTCTTCTGTTTAGTTAGTGCCTGGATGGCAAGGATTTATTTTTTGTTCTCTTTTATTTATGATGCATGCATGCAACCTTTTAAATAAAACTTGCTACAAGTCAGATTTTTAAAAAAAGATATTATTATTATACAGTATTTATAAAGCGCCAATAGTTCGCTCAGCGCTGTACATTACAAAGGGGGACAGAACATGTGACAAAACAATACCATGTTGACGCCAATATGATGCCAGACTACCTTTTTCCCAGGGAAGGTGATCCCCCACCTGAGCTAACCCCCACACTATATACAATAGGGAAGGTGATCCCCCACCTGAGCTAACCCCCACACCATATACAATATATTGTTGTAATATCCTATGTCTGTTTTAGATTACAGACTCCATCTGATCTCCTGACCAAGCAGAAGCAGACATTAATTCCTAGAAACACAGAGTTTGGGGATAGTCCCATCCCCAGCTGGAATATTCATGCCTATATGACAAGCTATTAGCAGGAATACATACAATAGAATTGAGTGGGAGTGTGACATACCCCTGAGGATGAGTCTAGCTTTTTGTACAAGATTAGGAACATATCGCTGGGGTTTTTTTAAAAAACATTTATACAAATATAGTTTGCTTTACCTTAAGGAATAATATTGTGTGGTGCCTTAAAAGTCTGCCAGGTTCTTTTTTTTTTTTGTTATAGAGATTATTTTAAATTCATATTGAGCTAGGGCAATTGGCAAGGCCTAACACAATAGTTAACAACTATAAAAACTATACTTGGCCACCCAAAAAAAAGAGCTTTTTTTTATCACCAGCCAGCAGGATCATTAATTTTTTTCATATATTGTCCCTAGATATCATTAAATGTACCTGAAAGCCAATTTTGATATTACTTCCCCCTTTTGTATTTTTTGCTCCATTTTATATTTTTTTTTCATACACATTTGTATATGTGCCCTCTAATGCTTTTTTGTAAGTGGAGCAACACACTGCAGTTAGTATCCCTAACATAGCAGTCTTAGTAAACCTAACAGACTGATAGATTTGTACTGTGCAGCAAGCACATCCTTTAAATACAATGAGCAAACATAGCTGACCTATGTACAGTTACAAATTATACAAAGCAACAAGATTTAAAATGCTATATTTTGATGGATCCCAGCAAGACAGGCACACCTCAATGTGAATTTGAACTGTTTATTGTATCAAACTGAAGTTGTCCTATAACTGGATTTTAAACCCTGAGGAATTAATTAATTTTAAAAACTGTGTAACTACTTTTATTTTTGTGTATAACGTGGCAGAGGGGTTATTAAGGGAGTTATTGACTTATTTAGCAGTAAAGGGTGCTTGTTCAGGGACGGGACTCATGGGAATCAGGCGAGTGCAACCCCACAATAGGGAATAGGGCTAGTTGGCCAGGGAAGACAGGGAAGAGCTCTTCCCAGGCATAAACTGGCCTCAGAGAGAGATGGTCATTGCCTGAAATGAGAGAGTGAGGCTGCACTAAAGTAGACTAAGGGACTAAGTAGTCCAAATAGCCAGAATGCTGTCTTTTGCTTTGTATTCTGTGTAATGCTGAAACTTCTGTGAGGAAAAACCAGATTTTTGGTGTTTGCTGCCAAATAAACATTGTTGGAAAGTGGTCAGAAAGCCTTGAGGCTAGGTTCACCACTGATCAATTTTCAGAGCGGCTCAGCTGTGGCTTCGATGTGTTCAGGAGGAGATTCTTCCAACTCCAGAATGTCTATTTTTCTTTTCTGAACTTTTTTTAATGGGACCAACTTGCTGCAATCATAGGCTAAGCATTAACTTGAGTTTGACAGGTGATGCTACTTGTCAGCTTGACAAGCTGCAGCATATGTACAGCCCTCTCCAGTTTTATCCTTTTTTGCAATCTTCGATCAACTTTTCTGTTTTGTCCACATCCAGTAAGATAAGCTACAGTGCCATGGGCTTTACACTTCTTGACAATGTTGCGCACAGTGGTCACAGGAACTTTTAGATCTCTGGAGATGGAGTTGTAACCTTGAGATTGTCCAGGTTTTTCCACTATTTTTGTTCTCAAATCATCAGACAACTCTTTGCTGCTCTTTCTTTTCTCCATGCTCTATGTGGCATACAGAGACACACAACAGAAAGGCTGAATCAATTTTATCACCATTTTAACTGGTTGTCAGTGTGATTTCTATATTGTCAGCATCTGTTAATTAACATAGGTAAGTTTTTATTATAAATTACAGGAGCATCATAAATTTGGAATGCAATTATTTCTTACAATTTTGAGAAGGTACCAATAATTTTTCCCAGTCCATTTTTGGAGTTTTGGGTGGAATGTGTCAGATTTGGCTTTTTGTTTCTCCCTATTTGTGTCATACCAATACAAAGAAAAGAAATAAACATAAGAATGCCTAAACATTTGTAATTGTCACAATTACAAAATTACAAACAAATTACTCACCTGTCACAACCCTGGCAAACAAATGACACCAGAAGTCTCAAGAGACGCAGCCGCACTCTTGAGCGAGCATGGCGTAAAACTAAATCTCTGAAAGACTTTACCCTCTACAAATCTGCTCTTCTCAAATACAACTCCAGCCTCCACGCTGCTAAGCAAACCTACTATAACACTCTCATCAGACCCTCTCATCCAATCCTGATCAACTCTTCTCTACCCTTAATTCCTT